CTCCGCCGAACGAAGCGTCTCCCCGGCAGCGGCAGCGCCGCCCGCGAGGGGCGCGGAGCGCGGCGGAGAAACGCGCACGCACCGCGCAGGAGGGCTCTGCTGTGCACGCACTTTACACAACATATGTGCAAGGTTCACGTGCTGGGGGAGGTCACGATCTTCGCTTTTCTGTTTTTTCTCTCTTCTGCCCCCCCCGGCTCTCTGCTTCTTCTGCTCTGCTTTCTTTGCTTGCTTTTCTGCCTTTTTTTTTGTTTTCCTTTTATTTTTGCCTTTTTTTTTTTTTTTTTCCTCCTTTCTTTCTTCGCACCGCTCTGCGTCCTCTTATCTCTTGGTGTCCCCTTCCCAGAAGCTGGTCTGAAAGGCAGCCGATTTCTCTGTGCGTTTGACTAATTTCTTCGCAGGAGGAAAAGAAACTTTTGCGTATGGTTTTTCTTTTTCACTTTTCGGTGTGCGTGTGTGTTACTCTGCCCTCCTTTCCCCTTGATCTTCACATGCTTGTCTTTAACTCTTCCCCCGTCCTGTCTCCTTTTCCGTCGCTCCGTCTCCCTTCCGCGGCTGACTTTTGTTCTCTCCTCTCTCCAAAGAGCGAGCACGCACGCACAGAAGACCTTGGGCAGTTTTGTCTTTCACCTCTCCTTCGTTCTTTGTCTTGCAGCTTCTTTCTCCAAGCAGACTCCCCGTTGGTGGTGGTGGTCACTTCCTGTTGTCCATTGGTAGGAAGTTTTTTTTTTTTCCTTTCTCCCTCTCCCTCTCAGGTTTTAATGACTTTTTGTGACACTCCTCACCCTCCCTCCCCCTCGCTGGCTCAGTCCTGTGTCCTGTTAGCTAATGACAGCGGTCTCGCCTGTGCGCCGATGAGCAAGTCCTTGGTCTCCAGCAAATAGTATCGATCCTCTCCCAGCTCTGGGGGGCGGGGGGGTGGCTGCTGTTGTCGCAGGGGTGATCCCCTGATCCCCCCTCCCCTCCCTCTCCTCGCTCGCAGCCGCTCCCCGCGCGGCGGGGCCCCCCCCCCCCGCGCCCCCC